GCAGAAATCTAGGAGGCAGGTCATGTTGTTGTTCCAGAACACTGGCAGGTTGCATTTCTGCAACTTGTTGAAATGAGTGTTTTTAGTAAAAAGTTTTCGATTTAATATTATTTTTGCTTGTTTTTTACCTTAACAAGGATGATATATTTGCTACAGAAGCAATTAAACCCTTACAAAAAACAAAAGAGAAGGAAAGGACATTTGAAGCAAACTTGTTCGATGATAACATTGATATCTTTGCTGACCTAACTGTAAAACCAAAAGAAAAGTCCAAAAAGAAAGTGGAAGCTAAGTCTATATTTGACGATGACATGGGTAAGTTGGGTTTTCTACACACGACATAGAGATTATTACCATTCAGTGACTTGGTATTTCTCCTGCTACCTTTATCTTGGCCTTTTCCTGGAAAATGTTCCTGATGGGTTTCCTTTGGCTTGCTGTGTAATCCCGAATTAAGCTGAGGATGGATAGGTAAATGGTGAAATAGCTTTCGGGTATCATGGACATCAAAGATTTGAAGGAGCCCAGAATTTGATCTTTAAGTGTAATTTAACTTTTATCTTATTATGTCCCCTGCCAATTACCTGTGACAAATATGAACACTGATGCTATGAAAGGAGGATCAGAATTATCAGCCACATGCAAAGTTGACAGAGGCTGCTGCCTTGGGCGTGATGCAGTTTGTTGAGTCAGAGTTCTAGGTGGAGAGAGAGCATCAGTGCCCAGAGGGGCAATTCAGGAAAACAGGACTAAATAGGGAAGCAGGTTATAACTCAGACTTTACATCTCGTCAAAGATCTGTGTTTGTAAATATGCTCATTTTCTCTCCATGTTGTAACATCTACTTTATTAATGGGCAAGCCAAATGCCTCATAACCCTAAATGTAATGACTTGGTGTTGGTAATAGAACTTGGGCTGAGGCCAGATATACATTTCCTACTCCTTCCCCTCTCTCTCCCAGGTCGGAACCTTGGAGTTAACTGGTAGAAAGCTGGTGCTAAAGTGCCAGACTGGGTCTGTTCCCCAAGCAAGCTGTGAGCTCCATCTCCACCTGCTTCCCATCCCATGGGGTGCAGAAGAGACTTATATAACAAAAGAAGTAATACATACCTCTTGTAATAGATTAATACTCGTCAGAAAATGTAAACAGTGGGAAACAAACCTAGAGGTAGCCATTATTAAGAGTTAGGCTGTAATCTTTCTGATATGCTGATATTGTTATTGGTATGAATACTTACTTTTTTCTAAAATAAGAATATATCTTCATAGCGGAAAAAATAGTGTTCAGAGAGAACCTGTGACTTGTATGTGATCATAAAACTTAATTAGTAGCAGACCAGAATCTAAGAGGCTTGGCTCTATTGTAGCGTTTTTTTGGTAACCCATTCTGTTACCAGACTTGAGTCTTTGGTGGTTTGTGTAGATGTTTTCTTTTTTTGTTTGTGTTTTTCTTTCTTTCTTTTTCTTTTTCTTTCTTTTTTTCTTTTCTTTTTTTTTTTTTTTTTTGCCTATTTAGCAACTCTTTTTCTTTCTTTTTAAAGATGATATCTTCTCTGGCGTCCAGGCTAAGACAACCAAACCAAAAAGTCGCTCTTCACAGGCAGCACCTGAACCAAGATCTGAACAGAAGGTGGCCAACATATTTGACGATCCTTTGAATGCCTTTGGAGGCCAGTAGAGCATACAGACTATGCCATCTCACTCTTCAGCTACATCCTTGAGTTAATAACGCTGTCTTATGCATTTTTTGTCTTAACTGAATTATCAGAAGCAAATACTGAAACAGTGTACTCACCTCTTACTAAATGCACTTTGTATTTTTCTGCACTGGTTTTAATCATGCTTAATACTGCAAAACAAAAATAAATGTTTCACAGTGTTTTTTTGTTTTGTTTGTTCTTTTAAAACTGTATTTATACCAGAGGCCTGGTGCACAAATTCATGCACGGGCAGGGTCCCTCAGCCTGGCTGGCAATTGGGGCTGCGGGAGGTTGGCCGGCAGTGGGGGGAGGGTGTTGCGGGAGGTTGGCTGTGGGAGCGCACTGACCACCAGGGGGCAGCTCCTTTGTTGAGCATCTGCCCCCTGATGGTCAGTGTGCGTCATAGTGACCAGTCATTTGGTCACTTAGGCTTTTATATATATATAGATAATTAGCTTTGGTAGCCACAATATTAGGGAAGAAACCTATTTGTGCCTTTCATGAGTGGGCAAGGAATCCCAGAGGTGGCAAGCAAAAGCCAGACTGATGACCAGGAGTCTTCCTTATACATGGATGGGAGCCCTATCTTAGTCAGAGCCTGGGCAGATGGTAGAGGAAGGGGATGAGAGATTACCTACTTCATGAGTCTTTGCAATAGGAGAGAAGTTTCCTTTAATATCTCTATAAGTCCACTAAGGGAAGGTTTGACAGACTATGGCCCTTTACTCTCCGTTTTTGAAAATACAGTTTTATTGGAACACAACCATACCCATTTATTTACATACTAGAGGCCCGGTGCACGAAATTCATGCACAGGTAGGGTCCCTAGGTCTGGCCGGTGATCAGGGCTGATCGGGGCCTTCTGGCTGCTGGCTGGGGCCTTCCTTCGTTCTGCGCTGCCCCCTGGTGGTCAGCACACGTCATAGCGAGCAGTCGAACTCCTGAGGGGACACTTTGCATATTAGCCATATATATATTCTATGGTTCTTATCCTATCTATAATGCCAGAGTAGTTGTGACAAAGGCTGGATGCCCAACAAAGCCTAAGATATTGTCTATCTTGCCTTTTTCAGAAATCATTAGCTGATCCTTGCTCTCAGGCATCCATTTCCATTCCTTGGAGCTTTGTATTATTTTGTCCAAGAGGCAGAATGAACCTCGGTAATTGTAGGGAGAAGTGCTAAGGGTGGACATGCCAGCCTCTAGAGCAGCACTTAAGGGAATGTCCTGTAATTGTTGCCACATAGATGGCTGTCCCTCCCAGTCTGTGTTTTCCCGTGCTGTGCCATCTCGGTGCTCAGTGGTCAATCTGTAGCAATGGCACAATCTTGTAGGCAAGATTGGCTTCACCAATCCTGAAGCCACTAACTTCTTCCTTGCCCACTTTTAAGATTGAACTGGGAGTTGCTCATCTCCTAGCCAAAGGTTTTGTACAGCTGCCACAGAACAGCTCTGCTTACCCTATGACAGGAGAGGGTGTTACTAGTTGCCTATTCTTTTTCTCTGATCCTTTTGTGCATCTGATATTGTTGTACTTAACCCAGTTATTAATTAACTGGAAAGGAACAGAGGAAAGGCCAAATATTATAGGCATGCTCACTAAAGTCTAAATGATGTAGAGGGTGCTTGCCTGTCTGTCATACCTGGGAATAGGGCATTGGCCAGAGTAGGCCTGCAGGAGTGGCCACTGCAAGTGCAGGAAGATTTGATATTTAAGCTCCTAAACAAAGGGGCTCTTGTGCTCTTGCCTGCTCCTTGCTGCTGGGGTCTGACTCCTGGCTTGGGCTCACCACATGGCCCACAGCCATGTGGACCCCACACACATGGACTGTGTCTAGCCTGACACTACGCCGGGCTCAGCTCCACCATGAAACGGAAACTGGACACTGGCTTTGCTTTGGCTCTGCTGACTCCTACCTGCGTGTTTTCCAGGACTGGTTTAAGGGGAAAGGGACTTTGGAAAATGAGCGATATAATTCCATACAAATAAAGTTTTCTACCACACCTCATCCTCACGGGGCATCTGGAAATTCTTATTCCAGAGGTGCCTCAAGAACCCCACTTCCACTAGCAACGGAGTAGAGCAGCCCATGCAATGACCCGATAACACATGTACGTTCTGTCCCCTACGTACGTAGTTTCCTGCTCTGAGTCTGAGCTCACTGGTGGGTGGCTCAGGAAGCATTTGTTAAACATGGTTTTTTCTTTGGGAGTGAACAAATCTGATCTGTCCTTATGATTGATTCCAGGGAATTCAGGAGAGTTAGAAATATGGTTAGAAAATAGGCAAATTGCTATTTTGAGAAGTTTGAAAGGGGAGGGAACTTATATTTATTGGCCCTGTGGTGAGCATTTCTTATTTTATTACAGAAAAGGCTAACATCTGGAAGCAGTGTAGAATGGTGGAACAGGTTTGGATCTTTTTTTTTTTTTGACTTTATCTTTATTGTTGGAGGTATTACAGATGTCCCCTTTGTGTGTGTTTTCCCCCATTGACCCCCCTCCACCCCATACCCAAGTTTGGATCTTTTTGAGACCTAGATTAAATCTGACTCTGCACTCAGAGCTGTTCGAATGTAGGCAAATTGTTTCCCTTTCTTAGCTTTTATCTGGTCCTTTGTCAAGTAGGGTTTTCAGTACCGACTTTGCAGGATTACGAGGGGAGCGCATATGCAATGCGCACATTCAAGGCAGGCGGGAGGGCTGGAGGCGCTGGGCTCTGGAAAGCCCGCCCCCGTGG